ATTCTTCCACCCCACCAAGTGAGAGTGCTTCCTGTTCTCCGTATCACCCCAGATGAACGCCCTGTTGATACTATCTATCTCCTTGCATACCGAGGCTGGAAGCATCTCCGTCTGCATAGAGTAAACAGGAATAGAAGTAGAAACTGAGCGTGCAACTGTTAACCGAGTAGCAAGGGAAAGTTTTTTAGCTTTCCAGGTTGAGAGTTTTTCTGGATTCACAAAATGAGGTCTCGGTAACGGTCCTTTGTCACTCGGAAATTGATGGCCATAGCCCCCAAGTACTTCCCAATGTCCGTTGTGAGAGGAATTCCTGCCCGGCTGCTATAGGCGACAGCAGTTTCCCTCAGCACGTTGGGTGAGACAAACATCATCGATTTCTGAAAATTCACTCTTTGTCCCGAGCTAGTGCACAAATCCTCCAAGCATTGCTTAGTCGACGAAATTTGGTTTAGCCCGGCCTCCGCAAAGAGAATAAGGTCATCTTCAAAAAAGAGGTGTGACAATTTCGGGCCACCTGGAGAAAGCGTTAGGGGTTTCCAACGTTTCTCCTCGATGGCCTGATCAATTCTATGAGAAAGACGTTCCATGCAGAGGACAAAAAGATAAGGGGAAAGAGGGTCTCCCTGGCGGACTCCTCTGCTTGGAGTGATGGGATCAGATAGCTCTCCATTCCAAGAAATGCGCATCCTGTTTCTCTCCACACAGAACATTATGCAGTTAATCCAAGAACTGGGAAGACCAATCTCCATTAAAGTGTCTCGCAGGAAGTCCCAACGAAGGCGATCATAAGCTTTCTACAGATCGATCTTGACCACCACGCCTCCCTTCCTCCCTTTGCGCTTCCGGGGCGAGTGAAGAACTTCCTGGACCACGATAATGTTGTCCGTCGTCTGTCTCCCTGGAATGAAGCTGCTCTGTCTCGGGGAGATCCACTTTCTCATCATGGGTTTGAGCCGGTTAGTGATCTCTTTAGTTATAGCTTTCAAGCTCACATTGTTAAGTGAGATTGGGCGAAGCTGCGTCAACAACTCTGGGCTGTCCACCTTAGGAATGAGGACCAGGGTGGATTCCGTGATCGAGTCTGCAAGATGACCTGTAGCAAAAAACTCCAAAGCCATGTTAGTTAAAGCCTTTCCCACCACTGCCCAATTTCTTTGGTAGAAGAGAGCTTGAAAGCCATCTGGGCCTAGTGCTTGCATCGGCTTCATGTCCATAATGGCTTTGAAGATATCAGCTGCGGAAAACGACCTGAGAAGGCAAAGAAATTCATACTGGGAGGCCCGCGGAAACTTGTTCTTCGGAAGCCGAACGACATATTTTTAAAGTGTTCGAAGACCAGTTTGGCAAGAGTTGCCGACTCATGAATCCACTCCCCACTGGCATCCTTGAGGCTTTGAATCTTGTTCCTTCTCCTTCTGATGCTAGCCTGTTGGTGGAAGTACCCGGTGTTTCGATCTCCGAATTTGAACCAACTTTCTCGTGATCTCTAGAACCAGATAAGCTCCTCTTGTTCCATGATCTTGTCAAGGCCTTCTCAAGTTTTGTGAGCAACTTCGCGAGACCACGCTCAAAGTTTGCTTCTAAACAAACTTGAATGCCCTTGATTCTGTTGAGGAGCCTACGCTTTTGCAGAAAGATGTTCTCTACCGTGTTTTTGTTCCAGTCTTTAAGGCGGTCTGTTAGGTCGCGAAGAGCAACATGGAGGGGGCTGGTCGCCTCCCAGTTACCTGTCAAAAAAGAGTTAAAGTTATCATGTGCTAACCAGGATGCTTCAAATCTAAAAGGAAGAGTAGGAGTTGAAGAAGCGTCTTGTCCCCCGGTGGAAGTCAGAATGGGGGAATGGTCTGACTGCAGCCGAGGAAGATGAAGAACGACAGAGTGTGGGAAAGCCTCGTTCCACTTCGTGTTGCACAAGATTCGGTCGATTCTGCTAGCTTTGTAGTTGCTCCTGGAATCTCCTCGAGACCAAGTGAAACGGGGCCCTGAGAAACCTAGATCCACAAGATTAGCACGATCAATGAACTCATTAAAAATTCTGCAGCGACGGGCATTGTTTGCCTTTGCTAGACCAGACTTCTCATCCAAGGATCTAAAGGCGTTGAAGTCACCAGTAATTAACCAAGGAGTAGAAATAACGGAGCTAAGGGAGATAAGAGTGTCCCAAAGGATCGACTGTAGGTTATAGTGGGGGGAGGCATAGGCCGCCGTGAGGTGGAAGGCGCCCGAGGAGCTCGTTGAAATCTTAGCCGAGAGATGTTGAGAGCAGGCTGAAGTGATTTCAACGTTGAAAGTTGTCTTGTCCAGGCAAAGCCAGATGCCACCACTTCTACCATTCACATTGATGAAAAAGATATCTGGGAAGCCAAGCTTGCCGCACACTATGTCTGTCGTCGAACCACTAATTTGGGGCTCCAACAGAATGAGGATGTCCGGTTTGTGTTGGAGAATTAGGAGCTTGAACGCCCTGAGGAACGCCTTGCTACCTGCACCACCAACATTCCAAGACATAATTTTTTTATCTTAGTTGTGTCAACCATTAAAACAAAATAAGGAGGAGCGAAAGGAGAGGGGAAATCAGGAGCTGGTCAGAGACTGGTCGGCCGGCCCATGTTCGTCGGGTGCTTGCGATTGTTCGGTGGTGGGCAGGGTTGTGGAACTTGTCGCCACCACGGGGTTAGGCAGCCTCTGAGTTTGCTTTGCTGAGTTCCACGTGTCGATCTCTTGCAGAGTTAGAGAGATGAGCATCTTTCTAGGTTTGCTTTTCTTTTCTCTCTTTGGAGACCAAATTTGAAGAGCTTTGGTCGTGGATGCAATGGGAACCCCTTTCTTACTCGAAAGTGACTTCTTCCCCTGCTTGTTCTTTAAGCGCAGACTGGCTAGAGGAAGTTCAGGATCAATTGCACGGTGAAGGGGGAGATCGGGACATGGGATGTCCACTATTGTAACCTGCTCTCCATTTGGCCCAAAGACCAAATGAGATTTGCCACTTTCCAGCTGTGCAGTCTTTTGGCTGGGCTCAAGAGGTCGAACGTTCGGCCTGGGGGTGATTTGAATCTGCTTGGTGGAGGCGCGGCCGGTGTAGGGCCTTGTTGCCAAGCTTGGGGTATAGGCGTTGAAGATGGGCCCGGGCCCAGCAGGCCTTTCCCATTCGGCTTCATAGCCGTCGTAAGATGAGTCTGATCACTTTAACTAGCCGTTGAGACCTTATTTGATGAAGCCGTTGGGGAATTCTTTTCCTCAATCTTCCTTTTTTCCACACTTTCCATCTTGAGTGCACCTGAGGAGATTCCTCCCATGTTATTGCCTTCGATAGTCTGATTTCCAGGCTTGCCACTATTATTACCATTTAAATGCCCGCTAGCCTTTCCTTTGTCATTCCCTGGGATGGTGTTCCCCGCCGAAGGTAAGACTCCTCCACTTTCCTTTTGTGTTTGAGATTTCTTTTCCGAGTTGGTTCCCTGAATGTTTGCCCGATGAATCGCCTGTGATTATTGTTTCCTTTCCGGTTTGCGACTTTTCCGCGTAACCTGCATCCATGGTCCAAAGCCTGACGGAGCCTTTGTCTCCGTCGCCGGTTCCGATGAGTTAATGGTCGTTAACAAGGGGGCTTCTCCTACCGGGACCAACGCCCGATTGAGCTTAGGGCAGGTGGTAGCCGAGTGACCAACAATTCCACACTCAAAGCATGTGTTAGGTAGATTTTCATAGACCACTTTATTCCAAAATCCATCTAATCTGATTCGGAGACGGAGCGGCTTGGACATGTCCAGTTCAATGGCGATTCTCGCAAATTTGCCTCTATGACCATGTTCGGTGTGATAATCCAGCTTGATCGTTCGTCCGATAAGGTTCCCGAGAGCGAATAAGACTTCCTTATGATAAAAATGTACCTGCAAGCGAGGAAGCCGAACCCAGACTGTTACCGTTCGATGAATTGCCTCACCAATCCGGAATGCGGGCGACTATTAATGGACAATTAGATAGTGAACAAGAATCACCCATGGTCCACCTGTGAGGGCCTTGAAGTAGTCCTGATCGTTGTTGAAAGTTGCCAAGAACACATCATCATCTAGATCCATAATATCGAGCTTGCCCATTGGTCGCCACATCCATCTCAATTGAGAACAAAGATACGTGTAAGTGACCTGACGACCCAGCAGGCGCACCACCAGCGTTTTCTTCCACGGAGAACAGAGGCGGGATTTGAAAACTTCAGAGACTTTCAGCTCCGGTTCCCCATTGAAAGAACTTGGGACTAAATCGTTTTCTCCCACGAACACCCATGGTTTGGTCAGTTGTGTTGGGGTGGATGCCTCCCCTGAAACAGCAGCTTTGTACGAGACTGTTGGCTGTGTTGGCCGGCTACTATGATTCTTCTCCATCTTATTTTCCGGTGGCGGTGACAAAGAGACCGCTTGCGCAAGCTTTCCCAGATCCGCGGGGGCAGCCGTGCCCGGGCTACTCGCGTTTCTATGGGTAAGGCTTGCCTCCGACATTTCCACTTCCGGCGGCCGATCAGTACGGGAGAGATGATACGCCGGAGATGGGATTCCGACAGCTTCAGTTGAGAGCATTTTCTTTTTATCCCGGATAGCTCAGCAATTTGACAATATTATAAGATAATTAATTAATTGATACAATGAACAGTGTCTACGAGGGTGGATTGCCTTGCGGTTTTTTCTCGTATGCAACCGTGTTTTTACACTTGTGCTTTTAATTAATTGATGATTGATGATTTCGTGCTCACTTTCAGGTAAACACCCTATTGCTCAAGTTTGTTTTTAGCAAGTTCATTCTGGTTAAGGACTAATTGGCGGTTAGTGCCTCGTGGGCAGATGTATTAAATACACAATCACCAATTCATTGGGATTTCAGAATGCTTGGATTTTATTGGCACTAATCTCGAAAATCATGTATTTCGAAGACATGAAGAGAACTCAGGTGACCAACCATTCATGCGAACTGATGCAATAATCAATCAACCTCGTCCAGTCCTCCTCCTTTTCAATTCATATTCATTCCTTCCACTACTTACAGCACATGCAGCCCGTAACGAGAGGAGAGGAACACATCAAGTTCTCATCGAATACCGCAAACAATAATTTCTACCACCAATCCTCCATTTCTCACCTGATATATACTCTGCTGCTGCTGCTGCTGCTGCTCCTCATTGTCCAAGTCTCCACACCCCATCTTGAAACTTGAGAACACAGCATAATAATTGCAATGAGCTAAGTAAAAAAGGCCATGGAATTGAAACCAGAAGGAATATTCAAGACACTGAAGAAATAAACAAAATCCGCAAAATTTTTGGAGAGGATACCATTGCCCGAGAAACCCATCATTCAACTACATGATGCTACTTACAAAATTCCCACCAGCACCACTGCTTACTGAACATGGCTTCCTAAACTACTCAAATGAAGAAGAGAGAAAAAAGAAGAAAAAAACGAACTTGAACCTACGACAACAACCGCATTTTTCTGCTCCTAATCCTGCAATGATTCAACCGAAACCTACCTATTTGTAAGCTTACTACTGTTAGCTGGTTCCCAACTCCCAAGTCAGCAAAACCTCTCTTTTCTCTAACAAATTAGTAAGGCTGGTGAGGCCACAGGAAAAAGTCTGTTGTCTGTGGCAACATCGAGCTCATCGAATTCTCCATGTTCTGGGCCGAACCAGAAGAGTCTCCTCCACCCGGGTGGCTGCTGCCACCACCACCGGCTGAAATGTGCTGGAAGAGGTTGTGATGATGCTGGTAGTAGGCAGTCATGGCGTCAAAGGGGATGCCACAAGGGATTGTCGAAAGCGGTTGCTGAACCGATCCAAAACTGATGTTATTCCCATTGCTGCTGCATTGTTGTTGTTGTTGTTGCTGCTGCTGCAGTTGTAGTTGTTGAGCTTGGCTCATCGGAGATGGTTTCTGCTCGGCATCCAGAGAGATTTTTAGCCGCTTTGCTGCTCCACCAATGGGGAGAGCACTCTTCATGATCGTTTCCACGTCATATCGATTCATCTCGAAGTTCGTCACTGCATTCAAGCCCCTGAACTTTATGGCTGCAATGTCATATGCCTCTGCTGCTTCCTCTTCAGTGGCTGCCCCATGTTATTTTGTAAAGGTTAGATGTATGTCTCCCCAATTCAAGTGGCTTTCATATTTTGCCCGGAAACTTATCATAGCACAAAAAGAACATGCATGTGCTTACCGAATGTGCCAAGGTACAAGTCTTTGTTCCCAGCAACACGCCCAATCCTTGCTTGCCAACGACCTTGCTGGCGATGCCTGCAGTTACAAGTGTTGGACCACAAGTAATCAGACAACATAATCATCATATGATATGTAATTGGAGATCAAAATCGACAGGAAAGCTAACCTTGTTACACCCCTGTATATGGAAGCACCCCTGGAGAATCCACTACTTTTCCTACATAAATTAGATGATTAGAATGTTACGTATCATGCTAATTGAAGCGGGAAACAAACATAACCTGTTCAGAGTCTGGAGGATTATGTATAGCATACCTTCTCAACGAGGCGATAAACTCCTGTTTCGATGCATATTTCATCTCTCCCAGTTCCTTGTTATAATTAGACACCTGCAAAACCATACAAGCCGCCACAAAATGATCAGTAAACAAAGACGATATCTAAGCAACGACAGTGAAAGTTAACAATTCGATCCTGGAAGAACAGAAACATGGGGGGAGATTAGTTACAGGAAAGTTGGTCGTGGCGGTGGGTCCCCAGTACTTAAGAGCAGCCAAATCATAAGCTTTAGCTGCTTTATCTTCTTTATCATATCCACCTGAAACCCAATAATGGGGGTTTTCACTTTTCAGTACACAATAGTAAAAAAAAAACCCCATTCCAGACAGTCGATAACCAAGAAAGTTGGATATAAATGAAACCAGCAATGGAGGGAGGGAGTTGCAGAGTTCAGTCAGCTTTACCTAAGTACACTGCAGGAGAGAGGCAACCCAAAATGTGGCCATCCAGAATTTCCCCATGCCAGCAAGAAAACAACCATTCCAATGTAAGAATCCAATATAGATGGTAAAAAAAGATCCAAGAAAAACAGCATCCAATAATGTCACTCCAAAGGAATAAGAGATACAGCATGTGAGTCGCACACATTGGGCAGGCCATAGTGCAATAAGCTGCTATTCCTTTTGTTACGAGGAATCTCAATCAGTAGATACACAGTTTGCACAGTAAAGAGAGCATCCACTGCGTCTGCGTTGTTTAAGAAGAAGGGGGCATTTCCTCATGTGTGAAAGGATCAGCATTTTATGGGGCGGGCCGCAGTTACTAGGATGGCAAACCATTTGTCAGCATGTTACGGCAATAATGTTGGAAGGAGGGGTGGAGAAAGGAAGGATCGTCACGATGTCACGTTACTGTCTCTGTTAGAGGTGGCAAGTAGGATCCAAATTCATGAATCCAATCTATCCACTTAATCCAATCCATTTAAATTCAATCCATTTGATCCAAATCCATTTGGATTGGTGGATTACTGGATCAATCCATGAATTCAAATGACAAATTACAATTTAATACCTATATTTTTTTATATTTTACATTTTGGTACCTTAAATTTATTTTTTATACGAAAATATCATTAGAAAATTATATTTTAGTACCTAAATTTTTTCATTATGACATTTTAGTACCTAAACTTTTCAAAAATTACATTTTAGTCCAAGCCTTGGATGTTATTTGGATTCATGGATCAATCCACCAATCCATATGATCCATGAATCCACCAATCCATGAATCCAATCCATTTGTCACCTCTGTTCTTTCCACAAACATTTTTCAAAAAGAAACAGCAAAGAGAAAAGGTGGGGAAAAAGACGAAGGAAGGAGAGGAAGTTGGAAAATGGAAACAGTAGTACGTGGTTTGGTCAAACCTAAACAACCCTTTTGGCTGAAAGGGAAAAGAGAGGGAAAACAAAGAGTAAAAGCAGCAGCCAAAAAAAAAAAAGAAAAAAAAACATTCCTTTATTTAATTAAAATAAGGAACCATTGGTCTAGCCGCTGCCCGCTAGCGATACCAACGACGTTACCATCATTTTGAGATGTTGGGTTCAAACTTGGAATTGCATGGAAATCTTAGTCTGGTGTAAAGTGTAAACCCTGCCTGTTCTTAAAAGCCAAAGAGATATGTGGGTAAATGAACAGAAACGTCTGCAGAGGGCCAGTGGGAGAAGGCATGGTGACTGATGAGGGTGTGGTGGTAGACTGGAGTGGAGAGGGACGGGCATGGAAGAAAATGTTATCAGAAAGAACACAAAAGAAAGAAAATTGTAATAAAATGGCGGCCCATCTTATCAAATAATCAATCAGCCGAAAAAAAATGAATGCCAGTGGCAGTGTATATGAATGAAGAAGAAGAAGAAGAATCATCAAGTAGCCCCAGAAATCCCACCCAGAGAAGAAAGAAAGCAGCAATATGTACAAAAAGGAAATATGACATATTTTTACTTGTCCAAGTCAAACTGGTACGCATCAATCATCAGAAAAGAAAAGGCTGGATCCAATTAAATGCCAGAACCACAGCAAGAGTACATGAAATCAGAGGTGTCCGCGCACACACAGACCCGCCCCTCGGAAATCAGGAATGCAAAGCAGGAAGAGAGACAGAGAGAGAGAGAGAGACCTTGACGTCCTTTTCTGGCTTGACCTTCTCTCCTACAGCTGTTATCCCATAGATGCGCTTCGTATCTACCTGTCCATCTATGCCTGCACCACCATTGCCAATCAAACAAACCAATCCAAAAAAAAAAGAGAACTCCAGTTACTTATTATTAACTATGCAAAAGGTCCTTCGTCCATTGAACACGAGAAATGTGCCTTAATTAGACTGATTAATTTAATTAATTAATCACTCAAAATGAAGGCAACTAACAAATTCAAATTTCAATAATAGAATGGGGAAGAAGAGGAGAAGACTATTGACTGGCTGACTGACTGACTAACCTTGTGACGCCTCGGTAAATGGAAGTCCGCTGCCCGAAGGTATCGGCGAGCTTCTTAGAGCAATCGGATTCAACAACGGCGACCACCGCTACGGCGGGAGGCGGAGAAGAGCTAATCGGTACGCTATTGTTGTTATTATCGGTGGTAACCGCAAGGGACAACCCGTTGCTACGACTCGAGAACCCCAACTCGTTGCTCGCCGACTCAATCGAGTGATGGCCACCGCCCGCCGCCATTAACTCGGCTCCACCGCCACCGCCACCAATCTGGTCGTCAACTTCACATCCGCCGGGGTTGGAGGGGAAGGCGCCTTGGTAGCCTGCGGGAATCGCCTGGTGTTCGCTGAAATAGGAGGCGGCACCTCCGCCTCCGCCTCCACCGCCGTTATCGTAGATGTGAGTCAAGGAAGAAGAGTCCTGAGTCTCTGTTTGGCTGTGCTCCGAGTACCGAACCACCGACCCCGACGAATCGCCGCCTAGGAAGTCCTCCAGCTTAGGTTGGTGGTGATGATGGCCTGATGATTGCTGCTGCTCCATGAAGTTGGTAAGTAGCGCGGTTTCCGCCATAGTCGTCGCTGTTTGTGCTTCCTTGGAACTTCCCCAACCTTGTTACCCAATAGAAATTCAAAAAACGATAATCAACTTAATTGCCTGATTTTCCCGAGAGGTGGAAGGAAGTGAAAAAGAAAATACTAGTAACGTGAGAGTAGTAGGTGTCGAGGAAGTAGTGAGGGGCGGCGGTGGAGGAGGAGGAGGAGGAACAAGATGACCTCAGCATCTCCATGGGGGAGAGAGAGAATGAAGGCCAGTTACTAGCGAGTAGCGGGTGCTGGTGCCATTTCTTCTCTTTCTTTCTTTCCAGCTGCGGGTGCTGTTCCAACTTTATTCAAGGATTGGGCAGTTTTTGCGGTATTCCTGCTGCTGCTATTTTCGACTTTACCACGCTGCCGATCGAAACTCCAAAAAAACAAATGACGATGGAACACTTTCCTCTCCGCTCTTATACTTAAAAAAAATGGATTGGTACTAGCAAACAGACAAAAGAGAAAGAAGCACACATACAGAGGAGAGGGAGAGGGAGAGAGGGTTGATGTTATTATTATTACCTCAGCTCAGCTCAGAATCAGAATGAGTTATGTGTAAAAGCTTCCCATCAGGGATTTGGTTAGCGCGACATGGAGACGATGACAGTGACGCGGGGAGTTGCAGAGAAGAAGGAACTTAAGTAGCAGTGACGGGTGGTTTTTTTAAGGGAGAGTGACAGTGGTGTGCGGAAGTAATTAAGAGGAACAGTTGAGATGGTGGTGCAACTGTAATGCATGCACGCCCATTTGATCCCTGGACTTGCTTTCGACTTAGATGAAGAGCTTTGTTTGAGCAACCAAAAATAGGGAGAGGGAGAGGGAAACGTGTCTCAAAGGAATGGTAAAAGTGGGTTCAAGATAGGATGTATAATTAGGGTGCATAACTATATGAGTAATTAAATCTAGACCCTTATTTTAAGTGACTGTAGATTTAAGTGTAGATAATTAAAAAAAAATTATATTCTTTAATTTTTTTAATTGGATCATATCTTCTTTATATTAACTCGGATTTCAAAAAAATTTTACAGATGGGACGAGTTTGTTGTGCTCTACAAAATGATATTCATTTTCAATATTTTTTGAGAAAAAATTTCATACCTCTCGTTAGGGCTGCAAATGAGCCGAGCTGAGCCGAGTTTTACCCCAACTTGAGCTTGACTCGTTAACAAATGAGCTGAGCTCGAGCTCGAGCCATCTATTAACGAGCCGAGTCGAGTCGAGTTCGAGCTAGGCTTGTGTACTAAATTCTTAGATCGTATTTGATACATCTAATCTATTAAAGCACAAGTTTAAAGGTACTGTTCATTACGAATTTATCGGTAATCCTAGGGTCATAATCGCATGCGGTAAATACATTTCACTTTCCCGTGTGCTAATGGATGTATGCACATTGGGCTGGGCAAGTTTTATTTTTTTACCAAAATGGAGCTTCCAATCTTTTGTTGCAAGGTAAGCAGCACTATTAATACACAAAAGAGGTCCAAACAGAGACTTTTATAACAATAAGGCTAACTCCAATGGATCCTCTATATTTAGGGGAGCCTCTATATTTGGGGGAAAGTTGGCTCCAATGGAGCCTCTATAAATGGAGGAGTCTCTATATTTGGGGGAGATCTCCAAAAAGATCCCCAAATTTGGGGGTGGAAATGGGGGTTCCCCCAAATATAGAGACTCCCCAAAGCCCGCCATGTGGCATTTCTTTTTCATTTTAAGATTTTAAGGGTTAATTGGGGTTTAATTAGGGGATTAGTTAGGGTGTAATTAGATCAATAATTTTCAAGTGTTGTGTGTAAACCCAAATTACGTCAATCATTTTTTGTCAACAAAAATTTGGTCTCAAAATTAAAAAAATTTCTACCGGAAAATTTGTATTTAAAAATGATGACGAACTATACAAAAATCAACATGAACAAATTATATTAAGACTTCGATAAGTAAATGAAAAACTTAAAAAATTGAGATCTCCAAATATAGAGGATGTAGCATTGGATCAAAAGAAGGGAAAATGGGGATGAACCCCAAATTTGGGGATGAAGATCCCCAAATTTGGGGGCTTGCATTGGAGTTGGTCTAAAGCGAGTTAAATTCAAAGAAAAGTTAATTTGTACATTGTAGTTTAAGTAAATGTGGTATGTCTATAACTTGATTTTATTATTAGACCATACATTACGGAACATTTATTTTTAGTAATTAGGTTTTACATATCATAGACTCCATTTTATAACAATAAAATCAAGTTAAATTCAAAGATAAGTTAAAATTTACATAGTTTTTAAGAAAATGTGATGTTTTCTATAAATTTATTTTATTATTAACCCGCATACATCACGGAATATTTATGTAATACCATTCTATAACAATTTTGTAAGTTACAAATATATTACGTAAAGCTTACAAAGGGATGCTTATCCCTTATGTCTAAATTAAACAAACCGTATTGTATAAATCTTTCATAATGACTAAGACACTACGTAAAACTTATCGAGTGATAGTAATTTTTTATGTATAAATTATATACGCAATATTTATCTAACCTAAAATTTCTGAATTATTAACTGAATTGTTGACTGACTCATTAATTTGTATTAGCCAAAGTTATTGTAAGGTCATTTATTTTTTACATAACAACTTAATCAATCAAGTTAAATTCAAATGTAAGTTAAGTTAAGTTTTACATAGTAGTTTGAGTAAATGTGATTCTATTACGGAACATTACAGAACATTTACATAATAACATTGTATAACAATTACGTAAGTTACAAATATATAATGTAAGGCTTACAAGGAATACTTATTCCATATGTCTCAATTATACAAACTGTATTATATTAAATTTTCATAATAACTAAGACACTACGTAAAACTTATCGAGTGATAGTAATTTCTTATGTATCAATCAAATACGCAATACTAATTTAAACTAAAATTATTAACTGCACTATTGATCGACTCATCAATTTATATTGCACAAAGGTTTTATAAGGTCAGTTATTTCTTACATAACAACTCAATCAATTGTGATACATTTCATAACTTAATTCACCTATTATTAACTAAATTATTTTTATTGTTACCCGCAACATTCACAATGTCATCAATTCGCATTATACAAAGATTCCGCAAGATAAAATAATTTTACATAATAGTTTAATGTGAGACTTATCAGTAACTCAAATTTATTACTGGATCACACATTATGGAAAATTTACATAACACCGTTTTATAAAATTCACGTAAATTACAAATACATTATGTAAAATTATGAAATGAAAGTTATTACGTATGTATCAGTTAAACAAACGATTTCACAAGTCTTCCATAACGATTAAGTAAATACGAAAAGCTTATCGAAGAATCTTCCCAACTATTTTGTAAATGATTTTATCTCAACTAAAATCATTAAATGGAATAATAAATTTCTTACCGCCGCGAAACGCGGGCCAAAAAACTAGTTCATTTTGTATGTCATGTATGGTACATGTGATTGATGTAACGATAAAAAAATAATCAAATGTTTAACTTTAATTAATCTTATATTATAATTTGTAAGTGTCATATTGTTTAGTTAATAAATTTTAACTAGTTCAAATCATGTTATTTCATACTTTACCCATGACAAATTTAAGCCTTATGTAGCTGCAGATGTATTCTCAGTATGAGCACGAAGCTATGGGGGAATGGTTAAAGATGGGGAAGGATACTTCACCCATGACAAATTTAAGGCTTGATCACACTGTATTGACCCCTAATCATACCCTCCGCTCCCTCGTTGAAGAATGGAATGACAAGAGGAATGCTGAGTCCTCTTGTCCATCATCTCAGATACGAATTAGTTGGTGATATAGTAACACACACTGTAACATCAGGGTTTTTGCTTGTAAAAATGGGTTTCTACACAATGCAACATAATTTTGGGTCTTACTACAGGCTTATGTGTACATTCAAAACCTATTCTACTTGCCTCTAAAAGCACATTGAGGTTGATTTGGCTCTTGTTGCTGCTGAGTTCGCCTTTCAATCTCTCGAGGACTGGCCTTCTGATGTCTGATGGAGTTGAAGTTGGAAACTTTATTATGAACGAAGGCATCTAGCCCAGCAGCAAAACTTGTCAACTCTTCGGGGCAGCGAGTAATCTTCACGCAAAGATAGATCAGTGGCCAAATCATCAGGGTGAGACCATATATACACCCCTCTTTCTTGACGGCTACCGGGGACAGTGTTGTCAAGTACAAATGCAATCAACAACGTCACTACCATGTTCAGGGACATTAGTGCATTCATCGCAAAATCGAACTGCCAAAACAGAACATGTTAAAACATGAGTACAAGCATAACTGATCAAGTAGCAGGCTACCGCAAGTACTGCAGAAAGAGCATTGCTTACTTGCTTACTGCCAGTGTTGACCGGTCCATCAGAAGCTGCCGAGTAAGGGATCAAGTAGCTTGGCAGAATGAGGCTGGATTTGGGCTCATACTGCTGGAAATACGCAGGAATTGACATTCCAAGAAACAATGAAACTCCTACAATTGCAATGTTTCTGAAACTTGCTGTTTGACTGTACTGTAGAGTTGAGAGACCTAGTGCAACAATAAGCCCCCAGATAAAGCACAGTATAGCAGCAGCCAATGCCTGTGGTATTGAAGCAAGAATGGCTCCCACTTTCCCTGTTTAATTTACCAGAAAAGTTGAGTTCACTTTACTGTGCCACTTTTAGACACCAGAAATGTCTTATAGTGCGGATATTCTACTAGAGCACGTACCAAAGAAAGAGAAGAGGATCAAGAAAACTGCTCCAAGCACAACTGTCCCTCGATTAGCCACCTTTGTGATGCTGATAGTGTGGATGTTTTCTGTTAAAGTTGTTGAGCCAGTACCTGAACCCCAAAGTCCAGCCAATATACTGCACAAACCCTCCATTGCAATTCCTCTGCTAACAATTCCTGGAGTTGGAGGCTTTGAAGTAACTAGCAAAGATGTGGAGTGGTATATTCCAACCTGTTTAAAATCAGTTGTCATAAGAGGCTAAAGCATCAGACAGACTGATACCGTATCAGATAAATATGGTTAGTCTATTCACATTGAACTTTCTTAAAGCTGGATCATCACAAAGCAGAAAGTTACTAACCGAGTCTACTGATGCAACCAATGATACAACTATCATGATCAAGGAAGTTCTTAGGTTGAAGATTGGGGCACCCCACTGAAATGGGTAGGGAATCCTAACCCATGCAGCAGTCCTCCAAGCATTGGACACATCAGTCCTACAATGCTGCATGGTGTATGCATGTTTCCTGCATGCATCCACTAGAATATTTGAACTTGGTATACCGGTGTTGCAGTCCTTGAAATTGTAAGCTCCACCAGCTGTCAAAAAGAATGCATATATCCATATTATTATCACGCTCATTGGCACCTGCAAACCACAAAAGAATGAAGGTAATGATGGTCGAGCAATCAATCAGCTAATAAAGTATATCCATCAGCCTTAAGTTGTATACAAAGGTGAAAGACATACAGCATAGATCCGGAACAGTCGATGTCCAAAGATGGATATTCCTCGAAGGTACTGGAATAGAAGAAGGAAAACAGAGACACTAAATAAGTGTTTTAACAAATTACCCAGAATGCTAAAGATAAAGAAACGGCTACTGATTATGACCAAAGATTACCAGTAAGTTGCATTATCAATGGGTTCACTTACCAAGGTGAATATTAGAACTAACAAAATAAGAGGGATGCTGATCTCTACACAACTTCCAGCTTGTGGGAAACCATAGCTAAAAAATGCCAAACCCACGGCAGCAACTGTTGGACCTACTACGACTGGATTAATCAATCTGCAACAAATGTTATAAATAAAGTGCTGAGAAATACCAGCATAGTAAGTTAAAATAACGAACATCAGAAAGTGTTGGGACATAGTTTTTAGCTCCCTGAAAAATCTCCCAACAGCGAGAACAAGAATCTTTCCTCTTACCCAACTTCCATTTTAGAGAAGAGAATCCTCTCTCCTGAATTTAATTATAGGGAAGCATAAGAATGTGTACAAAGCGCAAGTAGCTTCAGGATCTTTACTTGCCTTAGAAGAAGGGACATTAGACCAGTGAATCCCAAGAGACTTTGAAATACCGAACCAACAATTATAGCCCCTTGCAGTTCCCTCATAATGTGTCTGAACTTCTGCAGTTCCAATTTTTATAATTTAGAAGTTTGACATCGTGCCTTGGGGAGAATGGAAGAAGTTGAATTTCACAAAGCATTATTACAAGACTATAGTAAACTTAAACCTAGTGCATGATACATCACTGGTAACTTATTTTCTCAACTTACATGTTCTGTGAGGTGCCGATATTCCTGAGCATTCATGATGACTAGTGCAGGCGCCAAATAGACAAATGAGCTCCCTTGGACTAATGGAAGTCGGGTACCAAAATAGGAATGCAAGATTGTTGTAACCCCAGAAACAAGCAGCATTGTCGAAATCACGGTAGCAGTATCTTTCTGTAGTTTTCATGTAGATTAAGATTATTGAATACCAAGATGATCAATACAGGTACTGAGTGTCAAAAAATGTGGGCCATCCTAGGACACTAGAAAGATACTTACATCTGTTCCACCCATAGTTGGTACAATGATCAAAGGAATGAAGATCAATGAACCAGCGAGGGACAGATAGTGTTGCAAGCTATAATACAAGAGTGGCACTGCGGTTAAAAGAACAAAAGAAATCAGGAAAGAAAACATAACTTTAAGTGGGTAATGAATATCGAGCATTAACAGCAGGATTCACAGTTCTGATATCACAGTAAACCAGATAAATAACTCAAGACTTTTGAGTGAATTGTGAAATCTGGGATATTTTTTGTTGTAAACATGAAACTCAACAAAAATAAAGTTAAAGTCCTCGGAAGTTTCAGAACTTGGAACCATGGCTAATCATTGGTGTACATGCTTCACCAACCATGGAAAACTCTAGAACAAGAAACACTGCTTTGCTTCTGATCATACAAAAAGAGTTGTCTTCTTTTACATGGAAGGATTTCAGAAATGATTGCTTATTAGGATGGAAAATTTTCAGAATGTGTTGGGATGAATGATTTTGGACTGTGAATTCTTGATAGTAGGTCCTCTATTGAATTGAAATTAACGTAAACGCGAAGGAAAATGTCTTAACTTCTCTTCCTTCAAAGCAAATTGTGAACTTCTCAGCATGAGGGATTATGCAACATAAACATTGTGACAAATCAAACTCCTCGCTCTCTCATTTCAACTCATGCAGACATACGATTGTGGTGCACAATTTCTCTCTGACCCATAGATTCCTAAGTACAGCTGACAACAAAATGACTGACCAATTTGGAAGATTCCAATAACAAGTCCAATCCAGACCCGTTTTCTTTCATTTCTTATCTAGTCACAATTCTTGTCTTCTTTACTCTATCAATCTGCTTGACTAGTATCCTCTGCCATAGCACACTAAGCCAAACTTGAACGATAAGAGGAGATTATTCAGCCGAGATTTGACCTTGTTTCACCAACTCTTCCTATTCTTCAAAATGTCTCACTAATTGAGGTTCTTAAATATGAAAGAAACAGAATTGGAGGTAATCTTGTATCGGATGATAACAAGTCAAAAGTCATTGCCTAGAGTGTAGGACCTTCTCCAATTGTTCAGGCAACTAAGCATAGAAGCATAACAAAATTCAAAGAAATGCATGGAAATGGACAAGTAATCCAATGTACTAACCAATGCCAGGGTTCTCTCTTAACCCAAATCTCATCCCACCGTGTCTCTGCCACCCTCCATCAGGAAACTCCTCGCCACCGCCACCGCCACCGCCGGGGTACATGTCAATTCCGCCGTCTCTCCCGACAATTTGCTCCTCTTTCTTCTGCACCGCAACCGGTGGAAGAATGGTACTACTAGCACCCCCATCTACAGCTTCAGTTCCACTCACATTCTCTTTACCCCCCAAAAGAGGCTCGTCCCCAACTCTCCTCTTCTTGTTCTCCCCTCTCAACTCACCAAACCCGTTCCTCTCATCCCCTCCGGAGCTCGACGCCGCTGGTTGAATTTCCACTCCTCTATCGGGGCGGGTCCTACCCAGAATCGGGTCGATCTCAATAGTCGGAGAAGTCGACCCGCCGGCATTATTACTCCCGCGGCGAACTTCAGCTGCAGCAGGGGGCCCCTTCTCCAAATCAAACCCGCCGCTGTTGTTGCCGAACTTGCTACTGTTACTTGCAGTGGTTTCTGCGGAGAAAGTGGAGACGAACCCAGTTCTCTTGGCCCAAGATCTCAGGTCGTTTGGATTGTGGTCGGTGTTTGGAACGTACGGCTCAATGTTGGGCAGCATAGAGCCGAGCTTACTAGTCTTGCTCCGTTTGCTGGCTGCTTTTCTTCCCTTGTCGGGTTTGGGTCGGGAAACGGAGCTCAACGGCCGCCCAGTCTCCATTTCAGCCTCTTCTTCTCCAATGGGGTAGCAGTGAAGACTGAATAATGGGGGAAATGAGCTGATAGCTGGTATGACCGTACGAGTGCGAGAGTAAAACAGAAAATGAGAGAGAGAGAGAGAGAGAGAGAGACTTGAATAAAAAGAGCGGTGACAGTGTTTGGTCGAAATAATAAGTGGAGGAAACAGATTGTGGTGTTTCTAAATTCCAAGGGTTGTCACGTACTTGCCACCGGTTGAACCTCCGATACCGGTAGTAAAACCTGCGTGACACCACCGGTATGACCGGCATGATCAATATACGAATCTCTAAGTAAAATGACCTTATTTTAGTGAGTTTAATTAATAAAAATAATTTTATTATTTATTTTATGAGTATAAAAGTTAAATATTGATGTTATTTGTTGGATTCAAGTATAAATGTCTAAGTATTGACGTTAATGTCATGTTTAAATATGAGTATTTATAATTTTATTTGTAATATTGACCGACATGAACCGGTACAAACCTGTATGTGCCACCGATCGAACCATTCCACTTACTAAACCAGTACACTGGCATAAACCGGTTTGACAACCTTGTTCTAACTAATTTCAAATATTTGCAATTGCAGGCGCATACAATTGTTTTATAAAAAATATATGGCTTAATTGTATGGTTCGTCGGTGAGATTATAAAAATATTTATGTTTGGTCACTGTATATATATATTTAAATTCAATCTTGTCACTCAAATTTATTAAATGATTCAAGTTTGATCACTCTCTGTCCAATTTCATTAGCTTTTACTTATCTGACTGTAAACTTTTATAGTTGACCGTTGGTGACATGAAAATTAAAAATAATAAAATAAAGTTAATTTTTATATTTTCCACCTCTTCTAACCGAAATAGGTCCAATTCTCCTAGCCACCTTCCTCCGACGCGTTCCGCCGAGATCTCACCGGCTGTCTCACCCAGATCATCAATTTCAACGCCAAAACCTCTCCCCCCTTCTTAATCAACGCCTACCCTTACTTCGCTTACAAGCCCGACCCTAAATAAGGGTCTCTCGATTTCGTCAGAGAGTGGTCGAGCCTGCCTCCAATCTCCAGTAAGACAACATGCTTTTCGCCCAGATCGACACCGTCCACTACGCCCTGCCCGGGCTAGGGTTCCTCAGCGCCAACCGTCGTCCTCCACGACGGAGCTTGGAGATTGCATCGGAAAGCGCCTTTTTGTCCTCTGTCGGCTTCCATTTCTCCACCAAATAGTCCTTCACTGAAACCCCATTGTCCTGTTGCCCCTTCCGATTCAGTCGCGACGTTCCCCGCATTTCCTCCTGCACCTCCGCCGTGAACTCCATCCCTTCTTGAGCTCGAGGTATACCATCAACGTTGTTGGTTCGTCGAGCAGGAGATGCTTGTTGTCGATTTAGGCTATGGCGCAGTCGATTTTTGTGCTTCTCTCCTTAGCCTTCTTTTCTGGAAAAATGAAAAAAACAGAAACACAACAAGAGACACGAAAAGTAGAGTTTGATCGAAATCAACCTTCGACAGCACCACTAGTTTGTTTCTAGACTTGGACTAAAAATGTGAAACGAAATGGGCTTAAGGCCCTTCAAATGACAAACTCGTCTTGCACTTGTACCACCCCCTATTTCATTTAGAAACCCCTATTTCATTTAGAAATGAGGTGGAAAATATAAAATTAATTTTATTATTTTTAATTGCCATATCACACATTTAACTATCAACTATAAAAGTTGACTGCCACATAAGCAAAAGTTAACGGAGTTGGACAGAGAGTGACCGAACTTGAACCATTTAATAAATTTGAGTGATCAAGATTGGATTTAAATATTTTCAGTGACCAAACATGAACGTTTTTTGTAATCTTAGTGACCAACCATGCAATTAACCAAAAAACATATTTTGGAATTATTAGTTGTCGTTCTAAAAAATTCTTATTTATCACCCACATTATGATAAATTTACTCTAATACCCATAGTTTTTTTTTGTTTTACAATCACTTAAACTCTAAGACAAAAACATACATTCATTCGTCGTAAGAGTCGACCACCTAACCGGAGGCCCAATAGTCTTCGTCATCACCATGCGAAAAAGAGCAGAAGGTAAAGAAGAATTTTTTTTTAATGAATTTTTAGGGTCGGACGGGTTGAATATGTGTCCCGAACATATCTAGGATGGGTTGAAAACATGTCCAAGGCGAGTTGAAAACGGGTCTCATACATGTGCTTGGGATCAACCATGGGTCGCCTTTCTTCTTCTTCGCTCTCCTACCTCCTCTTAATCGACTGCAAAAACGAATAACAACAACGATAGGGAGCGATCTCGGCGGCAGCAGCGGCAATGACTATCAACCTTCTTCTTCGTCCGCATTTCTCCTTTTGCTCGATAGCAATAGCAAGAATGTGAGGGCGACAAAGTAGTTATGAGGCGACAGAGCAGTACTGGGGCGGCCGTGGCTTTTTTTGCCCAGATTGTGAGGGTTGGGTTTGGGCCTTGGGGTTGAGGGGGAGAGATTGTATGCTAGGGTTTAGGTTAAAATTGAGGTTAGGGGTAAATGTGACAATTTAGTATGGTTGAGGGCATTTATTTTAATTTTAGGGCGACTAATAAGCCACATGAGAAAGACTCAAAATAAGCCCCTTCAAAATAATTAGTCAACAGTATTACATCAGTTGTTGCTACTATTATAATTGACTAAAAAACTAATAATATTCTAGAAACGAAATCCGTGTACAATGGCGTATTCTCCTTATCCAACTGAAGTGCTCAGGGATCTCCAATCTTCATTCATATTCAAGTTACCTTACTTGTACAAAAACAAATTATCCACCCTACGGACAATTGTTAGATGATCAACTCCCACAACTCTATACATCCTGCTACACCCCTCTCTCCATAGTAAGTTCACTACCATATCCATATAAGCCTACCAAACGTTGCACATGCTTCTAATTAGAAAAAATATCCTAAAGCCATCATTGATGCAGATGGTGCAACTAGTTGGAAGGTTCGTAGGAAGGGGTAATGTCGATCGGGTGTATCACATAAAGAAATTCCCGACGATCATAGATTCTGTTCCTGGAGATGAAGCCACCAAAGGTGTCATTCGATTGAGAGTATTCCCTTTAACACTAACAAGGAAGGCGAAGAACTGGCTAGACTATCATCCGCCCAACACCTTCACCAATTGGGTGACCATATCATAAGCATTCATTGAGGAGTTCTTTCCACCTTGGCGCACGGAGGAGCTTAAAGAAGATATCAGGCAATTAGATGAGAATGAAGCTGAGACGTTACATAAATCTTTCATAATGTATGGTCTGATAATAAAATAAATTTTAGAAAGTAACATATGATTAATTTGTTATGGAATTGTTATGACAAAGTTAACTAATCATGAACTTATGATAAAATTGGATGCAGGAGATAAAAAATACTATTATAGAACATTGGTACATAAATATTTTATTGTGTGTAGTCTATGGTCTAATAACAAAATTGTATTTTAGAAAATAGCGTATGATTAAATTGTTATGTCAAAGTTAACTAATCATGAGCTTTTAGTAAAATTGGATGTAGGAGATATTTTATAGTGTGGTCTAATAATAAAATCAAATTTTAGAAAAAACATATGATTAAACGGTTATATCAAATTTGTTACATAAATATTTTATAGTTTGTGGTATGTGGTATGTGGTCTAACAAAAAATCAAATTTTAGAAAGTAAATTATGGTTAAACTGTTATTTGAAAGTTAGCTAATCATGAGCTTATGGTAAAATTAGATGTAAGAGATATTTTACAGTGTGTTGTCTAATAATAAAATAAAATTTTGGAATGCAACGTATGATTAAACTGTTATGTCAAAGTTGTTACATAAATATTTTATAGTTTCTGGTATAATAACAAAATCAAATTTTAGAAAGTAACTTATGATTAAACTATTATGTCAAAGTTAACTAATCATGTATTTATGATAAAATTGGATGTAAGAGATAAAAAAAACTGTTATAGAACATGGTTACATAAATATTTTATAGTGTGTGGTTTATGGTCTAATAATAAATATTTTATAGTTGACTAATCCAATTTTTGAGTTGTTCTACCCGCCTAGATTTGTGATCCCTCGAGTATCAAAGGAGATCGTTTAGGGAAAAAGGGTTATGAAGTAGGTTGACATTAAATGGCTTAGCCCAAGGCAAAACTTAGGGGATACGTGAATAAGGGGAACATCATGCATCAACGCATAGGTGATAAGTTCCTAAGTGAACAACAATCCGGGTCAATTAAAAAAGTGGATTATGCTATTTTATCGTGATGAACAATGAAAATCGTGAAAGTAAACTTGTTCAGTTAATAATATAATGTTCCCTTTACAAAAGGTTATCAATTTTTCTCAATTATGCTAGTAAGAACCTTAGACATTTTGTAGCTATGATTTTGGAATACAATTGTACAAGATGTTGCAACAAGATATTGTATGAAACAAATTCATCTTATTAGCATCATATACCTTAGGGATTAGGGACATAATTGTGGAGTTGATCTCACAATGAAGATGCCATATTTCAAAGAATGTCTAGTAGCTTTAGTCACATCCTCCCCTATTATATGCCATATTGTTTTGTAAACTTTGACAGGATAACCATTACGGCCAAACGAATTATTTGTACTCATACCAAAGATTATGTCATTTATTTCCTCATTTGAAATTGATCAACATAACTCAGCTGCCTCTGCTTCTGATATCTGCCCCTGCAGTAACACACTAGTATCTTCTTCAAAGAAACCTATGACCTCTGGATTTTCGCTACCAAGTAATTTTTTATTAAAATTTCACTTTTACATGCTCATTTTTCTCTACGTCAGTTATTGTCGTCTCATTATCGTTCTTCATGTACGCGATCTTATTCCTATGTGTCCTTACTTTGGGGAATTGTGGGAATATCTCGTGTTTAGATCCCCATCTGCCACCTTCAGGATACAAGCCTTATGCCTATAAAATGTATCTTCAGGTGTCTTCAACCTATAACATTCTAGTGACAATTAACTTCTTTGTCAAAAGTCTAATGGGAGGGATGATATAGAGCCTCGTGCCGAGCAATATGGAGTTTAGCCTCTACTTCTTTAGCCCTTAGAGTAATATCATATTATAATTCCTTGTTCGTCTCCTTCAACTTAAGTTTGAGTAATATGAGTTTTTCACAAACTTGGAACATGGGTTATCCAACTACCTTCACACTTTACACCTCTTGCATAATCTCTGAAGATTTTGGGTGATCATCCCAAAAAATAAAAATATATAAATGGCTTATGGTGGGACTTTAATAAAGGAGAAGAAGTAAGTATTAGCCCACATTGATTGGAAACAACTCTAATGGTTGTGGTACTAGACGTACTCCTAGGAAACTCTTAAAACATGCACTATTTACCATAATTCAGTCCATTCTACGAGCAATATGATTACTTTCTATTTTTTATCCAAGTATAACAGTCTCCTGCTATCTTATGATCTATCATTCTAATATGTATATGTTTAGAGGATTGATTAAACCCTTTAATATTCCAAGAATCGACGGTAATTTTTTACAAGTAGGATGACCACCCCTTCTACCATTCTTATCCTTACCCCCTCCGCCAACAAATTTTTATCAATTTCAATCTTTTTAGAGCTGGCTAGAACCACTCTTAGACAAAGATCATTCAAACGAGGCATCATCGTCTAGGTGAGAGATCACCACCAATTTAACTTTTGAAACCCTGGCTGCCATCGAGAGGATCACACTCTTCTTCCCATAAACCACCTCTTGGAATTCTTCTTCAGTTGGTAGCTTCTATTACCAGGCTACAAAATCTACAAGTTCACTCTCCTCAACACCCAAATTCTCAACTTGAGGTATAGCCAGGTCCTCAACCAAGTTGCATACAACACTAGTCTAAACCTTGTTAGTAGAAGGTACCACACAACACTTCGCATACCCTAGTTTCCTCCCATCTTGGTGGGTTGATCCATACATAATATGGCCTGTCTATCACACTCACAATCTTACTTAGAAAGTCCGGAAACAACCACTCAATTGGAAACCTTGATATCTTGACGCAAATTAGAATCCCTGGTTTCCATGCTATAATTGGTAGAATGAAGAATCTCGTTCTCCCGTTTACCAAGAAAAAGATTGTTACCTTAAAATTGTCAAGGACCTCCTAAAAACCCCAATAATAGGTTCTCATTAAAAATAGGAAGATCATCATTCTATTACCCAACTCAGAAACCCTAATATCTCCATCCCTACCCCACAATCTATTCGCCCAAGACTAAATCATCGGAAGAGGAGGGTGATAAAAAAAAATTGACCCCAAAAAAGGCCAAAACAGTTGTCCATCTTGCCGCACCTCTATCCATAAGTTCCTTCGGCAGTCACATCCCATCATCAACCAGTTGTGGCTCCACATGATTTCATTAGATGAATTTATATAGTAATATCAAACAGGTTTCATAAATACTTGAGATACAAGAAAAAATATATCATACAATTTCACTTGTTATTTTTTTGTTTGTTATCAAGGTTGTCAACCTGGTTTAGCCTGTTGGTCCGGTCAAGCAAGTGGGTTGATGGTTAATAGTCCAATTAATTTAGCTCACTTTATCTCGGATATATGAAAAAATTCATTATATTGTTTATACATTTATAAATTTTATCAAATTTCATCTAACATATGAGTAATAACATAAAACATTACACCACAATAACTGGTCGTAGTTGGATCCAATATATAGTGAAAATTCACACTTAGTGAATGATATATGATCCATGATTGAACCTCTCCCAACAAATTGAGTTATTGGGATCAACTGGTTCTTGACATGATATCAGAGTCTTATGTGACCGAGAGGTGTTGTGTTCAAATCCCGGTGACCCCATTTGTGAAGCACATGTATTCTCGTGTTCAGTACATGTGCAAACGAAAGCCCTTATCTGGCTTTCGTTTGAGGGGGGTGTGTTAGTGAGTGGTATATGATCCACGATTGAAGCTCTCCCAACAACTCTAGTTATTGGGATCAACTGGTTCTTGACAATAACATCAATATTTAAATGTTGAATTTATAATTTCAAAGATAGGGTTAGACTAAAAGGAATATCGAAAAGATGTGCATTTCGCAAATCAAAGAGAAAAATAACGCCGAGTGACCTCCAACCTAATAACCTTACAAGTTACAACGGGGCGACCCGGAGGTGTTTGTACCTTTTTTTTTATCAAGTCAGAATCAAAACGGGTTAACCCGCGTATTGACAACCATTATACAGTAAAATATAAAAATTGTCTGTACAATAGTGACCACAATGACAAATAAAATCAGGACCGCATGAAGTTGTTTAATTAGCCCCCCCTTTCTTCCCGCGAGTGATTGCTTAGTCTAGTCTTAAAGTCTTTGCTTGTGCCAAATGATTCAATGCCACCTTGCTGTGTGGGAAAAGGGATTCTACTAGTGCCTAATGGTAAAGTTCAAAGCGATTGGGGTTGGGGATAACATTACATGATCATAAAGATAAAAGCACTATAATTTGGAAAATGAAGAAATTTGGTTAGAAGAATCGATTCAAGGTGGGTTTAGTACAGAAAGCAATCAATTACCATAGCGTAGCTTTCATACTACTCTGTAGAAGCGTTTGAATCATTATTCCATGGCACAAACGTCTTGGCCTTTTAGAATTTTATTTCCTATTCGTTCATGATGATAGGATTAGTGAAGAGAAGATTAGTTTGATGGTTTTGTTTTCATTTGGTTTTCTGGTGGGACATGTCTGTCAGATCGGTGATGGAGTCTTGAGCGTGACTCTCTAATACACAGCAAAATGAGTGTAGTAATTGAATTAAACACAGTTTAACCACTTAAATCCGTATGTCGAACGGTTTTTGTTTTCTTGCTTTGTCGAATCTTTTAATTTCTAGATTCGCAGAAAAATAGTTGTGACACCATTCCATGCATAACAGAAAAGTGGGTTAGTTGAAGTTATGAGCAGAGTATTAATTTTGCTTATTTTGGCCGCCTTCCATTAGAATGACAGAGTGATCGCAAGCATGATAAGCGAGGAAGCCTTCTTCATCAATCATCATATTCCTTCCAGAACCTGTCGGCCAAAATCGAAAATGTGGAATTGCATTTCCTTGACATTCCACTTTTACCCATTTCTCTCGTCTAAATTTCTACAAACTTTAAGAACTTCAATCATCTGCTCATTAGAAGTGACTTCAGGTGGAGAGATTGCTTAGACTTGAAGACTAAGCAATCACTGAAAGAAAGGGGGGCAATTACTTAACTTCATTAGGAAATGGGATTCCTGAACCCTTTCTACAAACAGTTGGAGCCTTGAGTCCACAATTAGAGATGGACATGGTCTAACTATCCATGTTGAAACTCAAGAGCCTACTTTTGCTGATGAAGCAAGTTCAGATCCAAACTACCATCTTACGTCTCAATCATGCAAACCCATTCTTCAGGATCACATCTTACTTTTGAAGTTTCTATTCGAAGTTCCGCCAATATAGCCTGCCTGCCCACGAAGCATATCAGTTCGAGGGTCGTCATTTTCAGCAAGCCAACCTGCTTCCAAACTTCACGATGCCTCCATCTTGCCTCTTCAGACTTCAGTCCACTTCTCTACCAGATGCCTCAAGAAGAAGAACAGTTCACAGCGATTTGCTTGCCCTGACACACCACATTTCACAAATTCATCTTTGCCAGAATGTCTCTCCGCCATCTGAATAGAAAGCAACATCACAATGTTTAAGGCACATCTACCACTTTTATATAGCTACTGTAATTACTAGTCAAAACTGAGATGCATCTGCCCAGATCCTACATCACCATGCCCATCTTTCATAGAAAACTTCACGAACAATATAATCCCCTTGAAGGCTTCTGACCCAATTCATCTACCAACAAAGTTGGCTAACAACGCAAAAGCATCATCGCCCATCTTCATTAACCACTAACAGACATGAACTATCAAAATGATCATGTTCAACCCAAGCCAGTAATGCAAAAAACAACTGAATTTGTAGGCATTCTTCACAAGGCGAAATACCAATTTCATCATACAGAAGTTGTTGGTAGATCGGGCGAGAATCTCCGCGAAGCAGGAATGGACAATGACCAAAGCTCAGGGAAGTCAAGCCATGGAGAAGAGTCAACATTCTTTGGATTATCTGCTGTGTACTACTTTCATCAAACATTGACGACACAGCGGGAAATCAACTACAAGCTCTGATCAAATTACAGATTATATGCCCCGAACCCCGTCAATTCAAACAACAGGAAGCGGAAACGATAGAGCGAGAGATCACCGCTTGAGGCCCTTCATTCTAGCAGCGAGAGAAGAGAATAGACAGGCAACTCGTTCCTGTTGCCCATGGAACCGACGCTAGAGATAGGACTCAACCCAGTCAAAAACGCGATTCTATCTAGAATTTAACTACATTTGTAGGGAAAAATCACGATTCTACGTAAAAACATTTTGGTGACCTAAAAACATAAAAGCGTAAGCTTTCAAACTTTAAAGCGCGATTTTGACTGCATTGATAAGACTCGAGAATCTCCATTACCGACACAAACCGCTTCATCTCCCCCAGCCGCTGGCTCAACTCAGCTTCCCCAGCCCTAGCACGTTCGAGCCTCACCTCCATCTCTGCGAGTCGGCCTCGTGGATCTTCGATCACCGATTCGCTGTCGTCGGTATCGTCGCCCGGCAACCGGCGGTTGCGGGAGCGGTGGGTTAGATCTCTCCGTCGTCAGCACTCAAACTAACATGTTATTCATACATAAAATACGACAATAAATTACTAGAATGAAGAAATAAACTCAATTTCATGAAAATATTATATTTGTAAGCTAAACATCAAATATGTTGAGAATAATAATAATAATTTGTAGAAAAATACATATGTATAGGGGTGGGAAACAGTGCGGTCCGGACCAGACCATATCGTATGGTTCAAACCAAGAGGCTGAAACACATACCATGGACAAGACCATATACTATACGGTACAAACCAGACCACGCCTATGTGGTGCGGTCCAGTACGGTCTGTAGTAGGCAAACCATGTTACGAAAGTCATTCTTATTCCGCCGTCCAACCCTCTTCGGTATCTACAAAATTAAAAATGTCATTAATCAATATACTAGGGCTATAAAAATTTAGTCATCATAATTAAAATGGGAAAAAATATATGAGGGGAAGAGTGAATTTTTTTTTCAATTTTCAAACTTTATCTGGTTTCCACGGCTCTACCCAGTATCTATTGAAAAAACAGACATCAAATAACCTTGTTTCCCTCTTTCTCTTTGTGCGACCGCTTCTCTCCCTCTCTCGGGGTGATCCGGAAGGTTCTCACTACAGTTCACCGCCGTGATGATGTCAATGTCTTTTTGAATAAATAAGATTAGGGGTGTGCAAATGGTGTGGTTACCATGGTAACCGTTTTAACCAGTAGTATTTGGATAATTTGGTTTGGTTAATTTGGATAATTGGTTTGGTTTGGTTAAAAAATTTAGCTTGTTTGGTTTGGTTTTAGACACTCCTAACCAGCCAAACCAAATTAACCAGATAAATAATTAGCCATAGATCTAATATATACACTTACTTAATACTTTGAATAACCACTCAAGAGTTAAAAGTTTATCCTTTTAGACTGGTAAAATATAAAGCTTGATGTTGTTCCTATAATGTATATTTTGTATATGTAGAGTGTAGACCACAACATATGAACGCCTAATTTAGATAAATCTCATACATTATGTTGGATGAAAACTTAAAAGCAAGGTCATTTTCAGCCTATGAAAATTGCTAAAAGACTAAGTCAATTCAAACAAACACAACAATTCATTAACCCATACCATTGTGATAAATTTTTGTTAGGTGAATACTTTTATACTAACCGTAAGATAATGAATTAGATGCATGTATTTATGTTAAGGGTCAACTATAACTATGTGTTGATTGTTATGTTTTATTCATTATATAAATTGTGAATTGATAAATTAACCAAAATTTTTGTCACTTAATGATAATATGATTTTATATTGGTTAATCTGGTTAACCAATTGGCAAACCGATTAAAATCTAGTTTGATTAATTTGGTTGTTGTATTAGTTTGGAAGGTTTGGTTATGTTATTGTATTCCATGGTTAATGAAATTTAGTCTTATTTGGTTTTGTAATAACCATGGTAACCATTTGAACACCCCTAAATAAGATGGTGACTTATCCCTCAATAATTTTCCTTATCTCATTATGGTGAGTGAATTTTTTTCTAGTGTTTCTATTTTATCGACTCCATAGTCTATACATTGTCAGTTAATATTATTCATGAATCATTCTTGTAATAGTATGGTTCTTTGATAAGAAGATAATGCATAAGCGATCATTTGGGCAATATGGT